TCTCTCTCTCTGCCAGTGTGTGTGTGCGTGCTTATGTGTATGTGTTTGTGTGTGTGTGTGTGTGTGTGTGTGTGTGTGTGTGTGTGTGTGTGTGTAACATTTAGAATATGTCTACAGACGTACACACGTATTTATACACAACAAGACACTTACCCCATACAATAAAATACAAATCAACATAAGGCGGGGCGCTTTGGTCCATAATTTCTTTTCATATAAAGAAGAAAGAGTTCTGTTCATTCTTGTCCTAGAAGTAAATGAACGTTTTGGTTTCTCCTTATCCAAGTTAACTGTCACTTGATCTATCTTTCTATCTTTTTGACCTGATTCTCTAACACCCAAGAAACGTCAGAACGTATGATCTTGGCATTTAAACTCCAAAATTTGGTCATGCGTAACAAACCTATCAACTCTCCCCCCCAAAACACACACACACACACACACACACACACACACACACACACACACATACACACACACATACACACACACACACACACACACACACACACACACACTCACACAATTCGTTGCTGCGCACATACATTCAGTCTACGCCTCCCTTTTTCCACGGCAAACATGTATGGGTTTGACACCCCTATCAAAAAGTTTAATTATTTTTGAGGCATGACCTCAGAATCTAACGTCCGTCTCAGATAGAATAGAGCCAAATGGGTTGAGAGCCTTGAAAACTCCACAAGACAACCCGAGTTCAAAGGCACCCAATTTGGAATTCGAACCAAGGCCATTCGCTCCTAGTCGTATATGAAACCATCTAAGCTATAGTAGGAGCGCCTCTTCGTTCCCAAATTGGTACTAATGACACAATAAAAATGAAACAAAAGCGAAAAGCAAAGACTGTAAAAGTCTGAAGAAACAAACACAATACCACTTTGAAGAGGAACCATTCCCGGCACGGGCCAAGATATCATAATATGACAGAGAAAAACCCGTCAAGATCTTATATAATTTCTAAACATGTTTTAATGTCGAATGACATCTTAGCCTTAATTTCAATTTCGACAAGTGGCATGTATGCATAAGATTTAAGACAACAACTTAAATGGAAGAAAACTTAATAAATAAAAATGTACAGTCAGCGTCTCCTGTTGGCATTATAACTACGTCATGGGACGCCCAACGTGAGGAGTACTTGAGCTATGTAGTAGCTGAACATAATGATTGCTTCTCCATAGACTAAGGGAGCGCACCAGTGTGTGTAGCCGATCAAGAAATCCGATAAAACGAAAGACGATGCTCCCAACGCGCTGAACGCTGTCAAAGGTGAAGGGAGGCTCTCGAAACTGGAAATTGCATAGAACATCATGGAGTGGATGAGTACAGAATATAACCCGGCTAGAACTATATCCACATTCGTTAAGCTGCCCGTAATTAGAGTTGAATATAGGACCACGTTCAGAGGAATCACTAACCAAGCGAATTTACTTTTTCGTCGTAAAGGTTTCATTGCGTAGAGATAGAGTATCTGAGCTATCCCAAAGAACAGAACTCCCAGCTCGAAGCACCCTTTGAATTCCAAACTTATATCACCAGAGCTGGATACCAGCAGACCGAGCATAAAGAACGACTGGAATCTGACGGAGTCTGGATGTGTCTTTAGTGATGAGTCTGTATTGTCACCATCAGGAAGCGTAGTTCCGTCAGAATAATCGGAGCCTTTTCGCTGTGAAGAGGAGGCGCCATTTTGAGTTGACGATGATTCCGAGATTGTAGAAATATTCAGTTGATTTTGGGAGGCGGCTTTTCTTTTCTGGTTCACGAAGAAGGCAAGATACCAGACAGGCAGCGCCTTAAAGACAGCAGCGATGATGTCGTTCTCAATGTTGTGAGTGTACGGCTTGTACAGGTACAGGTACAGAGAGAAGAGTATGTAGTAGGGCAGGATCCGTGGCTGTGTTAAACGTGCCAACATCTGTGGAAAATAGAGATTGGAGAAAGGGTATTGACTTATTATAATGCATATGTGACGAAATAGAAACAATAAAAAGCAACAATACTACAGAGCAAGGGTAACGCAAGCATTTCCAAGGGGCACAATAATACAATTACCATATTATTGAAGAAACACGCGTGTGCGTGTATCTCTGTGCTGTGTCTGTGTGTCTGTGTGCAAGAAATGACATAATTTCTTTTAATAATAAAATCAACCCAAAAAATGGCAACAATCCATTTTAATCTTCTGGGCCTTGGAGACTTCTATAACATCTCCACCACTTACACATTTTGAGAATTTCGAACACAGCAGGACCAGAGTGGAAAATCAGATGTCAGAAATAAGCAGCCAGGATAAATTTCATAGTTCATTCTTGATATTGTTTGTGGAAAGAATTATAGGCCTTTGTGGTATTGCTTTAGACATTGGTATATTAACGCTTACATCGACTCATGAGGCTTGTATCATGACAGTAGGTCAAGGTCTGTCCTTACTATCAGTATACATCCCCCCCCCCCAACCCTTTATCCAAATCACACCTAAGCCACATACATGCACACTTTTACGAAAGGTTCGTTATCTTTGGTTCTCATCACATATTGGGGAAAACCCGACTTAGTGTATTAAATCACTATAATATTATTCTATTCATAGCTGTGATAAAAATATTTTGAAAGCCCCCAGTCAATTCGCACAATAATGATTGCGTCATATTTCGCTTTTCTGCAAAAAGTACGGAAACTTCCTGTGAGGGTTACACACAAAAACATTATGGCTGTTGTTACATGACAAAGAAATACGATTCTGACCAAACTGCGCCCAAACATCTTTTAAAACATCGCTACGGTCCAGGTAAATGCTATATAGGTATTCCTAACTTTGAACAATAATGTATAATAATATGATAATAGTAGAGTACGCCCATTTGTTGAATTAAAAAAGTATCTTGAATAGTTCCACGAATACAATGCGAAGAAGTTGTAGGAGCAAGAGAGGTAAAGGCAAAGGCGTAACTAAAGACTAAAGATGAAGTAGGTGAGATTTTGTCTGTTTGTTAGTTTGTTTGTTTGTTTGAGTAAAGAGAAGCACATCAGCATAATAATAGTCATAATATGGAGATAGATCTTTCTCATATCTTGGTCCATTTATGTGGAACAGATTACCCATGAAAGTAAGACAAATAAGAACACTTGATAGCTTCAAAAGACATCTTAAACATTTTCTGTTCCTACAGGCCTATCCTTCATAAGCTTTTAACGTTATCTTTCATTATATTTGTTCTGTTCCTATGTCTGGATGAAAATAGTCTCTGTGTGTGTGTGAGTGTGTGTGTGTGTGTGTGTGTGCGTGTGTGTGTGTGTGTGTGTGTGTGTGTGTGTGTGTGTGTGTGTTTGTGTGTATGTGTGTGTGTGTGTGCATTAATGTATATTGCATGAGAAGGAAGGAAATAGTAAGAAAGGTTTTTGAAAAATGGGTATTCCTATGTAAAGCGCATTGAGCTACTTTTTGGAAATGCGCTATATAAATGTTATATATAATTATTATTATTATTATTATTATTATTATTATTATTATTATTATTATTATTATTATTATTATTAATTTATTCGTGCTGGGAAAGGTAAAGCAGACAGACAGAAACAACAGTAGGAAAGTACAGACGACGGTCCTACCGGTGGCGCCCACCATCCACCCGCAACTTTTGTCCCGACGTAAGCGTCTGGTGAAACTCTCTTTTGCTCTTATCGTTCACCCAACGAGTGTAGGTTTTAGATTTTTGTGATTGCGAAAAGAAAATTACCTATCCAGATGCGTGTGCGTGCGTGGACGGGTTAATCAAAGATATAAAACAGGCTTCAGGTCACGTTTAATTAATGTTTGGACTTTCGAGATTTGGAAACAAACACGCATTTGTCTTTACCTGCAATAGGAAGGAACAGGCGGGAACTATCATAATAAAACATTTTGTGATCCTTTTGAGTTTCGAGCAAGCCAAACACTTACCTCCCGGGGTCCATTCAGAACAGATTTACCACCCTTCTCAGAAAGCTGTAATTAAGTTTTGGAAGAGAACGTTTTGGGGATTTCGGGGGTGTTTGTTTCTCTAAAGAAAATTCAACAACCTGCTATTCAGTTACCAAACGAGTGACACACTGGTATCTTAGATAAAAGAACAGAGTGGAATAATGCTTCAGATGTTCGTTATTTGCCAGGATGCCTGAAAATTTCAAACTCTCAAATATAAGATCCCAGTCTCATTCTTTTAGATACTCTCTGATACTGACAAAACTGTTAAAAACATTCGTAAGTTTTATTATTTTTAATGAAAAAGATATATTCCTTCTTAATTCTTTCCTTTTCAAAACCACAGACTGTGTTGAAACAAGCTTCATGCGCCACAAAATAAATTTATATAAGTAAATATGAACAAAAGAATAAATTATGAATTTATCAAATGAATAAATAAATAAACGAATAAATAAATAAATAGGTAAATAAATAATGAAATAAGTAAAAGAGGAACAGAATAGATGGATTGGTTCACCTGTGGCACAAAACGGGCTATAGATGCCGCCATTTTTCCGTCGTAGACTAAACGAGTAGATGCAATGTTCAACTTGAAATAACTTGAAGAACCTTGAAGGCGAATGGCAGCATTACTTCCTTACACATGCGGGCCTTTGTACTGAGGAGAATGACACAGAAAATCACAATAAGGAATTTGTCAATGCAATGTCAATGACAGAAACAAGAAACGCATCCCACAAAGTTTTGAAGTTGTGATGGTATTAGTAGTAACAAGAAACCAAAAAGAAAGAGGAAGAAGAAGAAGAAGAAGAAGAAGAAGAAGAAGAAGAAGAAGAAGAAGAAGAAAAAGAAGAAGAAGAAGAAGAAGAAGAAGAAGAAAAACCAAAAGCGACAAAAATTACTGTAACAGCCAATAAACATAGCTAACAATAATGAACCCCATCTCCACCTACCGCCCCCTCTCTCCCCCTTTAAAAAATTCAAACAACAGAAAATCAAAAGTATGTATTCCACCAAAAACAACAGTAACAAAGAAATGCGTTAACAACCACTAGAGGCTTATTTTTCAGACTAAAGTCTCAAAATATCCAGGCAGAAACACAAATACCGCTATACGTACTGAAAACAACATACTGTTATAATATTATTGCATCTTTGCTTTATAATAGTATTGCATCTTTGTTGCTGACATCTCAGTTGCCACTAGGACGTTAATGATAGCAATGTCCGACTCGTAATGTATACTGTAAAGCTGAATGTTCCCCAAGAGAGCCAAATTAAGGTTATCTCTATAATATATTATTATATTATATTTGTGGAAGTTCGTCACTTTGGCAGCCTGAAACTTCCGAACTTGCGAATCTGATCAAATTAAGGGCGGTTCAGAATCATTTAATGGGTGCACAGTTTCATTGAGGAGCCTGAAGTCACTGTAGTTTAATTTTCAGTTTTTCATTAGTTTCGTTTAGATCTAATCTTATGAAAGTCCGTCTTCTAAGACGCCATTGTAAACAAGTGAGGTTTCCGTTCACTTGCCGTGAGCTCTGTTTCCACACCTTTGAAATTCTGGAGTGTACAACCAAGAAAGCGGAATAAAGAATCAATCTATACATCTATTATATATATATTTGGAAACTTGGAAACTCATAATGTGTCACTTTTCTCTAAAAATGTATTGCTCCATTCCAGTAAAGTGTAAATATAGTAAGCTTATGACTTTCGGTTGATGTTAATGTACCGATCATTCCTTTCACCGACAGGGGGCCCATCTAGTTTTGAGCTTTCTCTGCTCGTTGAGATGATGTCATTAACTCCCGTGAGATTGTAAAAGAATATAAGACTGGAATAGAGTAATTTTTGCGTTCTTATTGAATTTTTGTGTATTACTTTTCAGAATTGACTTTGACTGAAATAATGCAGTTATAAGCATTTTAACTGAATTTTTATGTGTTATTATTTAGAATCGACAGGGACTGAAATAGTGCAATTATTAGTATTGTAACCGATAACTTTCACGCATTATTGTTCGGAATTGACTGAAACTGACATAATGCAATTATCAACAAACTGTCAATGTTCAGATATTATATTGTTCAGAAATTCCTGAGATAGAACCAGTGCAATTATCCTGCATTGCAACTGGTAACTGTTAATTTTTTCACAATGCGTTATTCCAGGACTGTTGAGACAGCTCCTATGATGATTATGACGTCACAACTGCTCGGTGTCACAACTTGATCTACAGTAACGGTTGCCCTCACCCAAGGGGCTCAACATCCACAGCGTTAAAGTTGTTCACCAGTAGGGGGACTTGGGCGCAAGCATTTCAGGAGACAGAACGTACACAAATAATAATAATCCAGTCCCAAGTCTCGTGACTCTTGCCAAGCGGCACCATGAAAGAAACACGCCGATATCGAGGCAAGTCCAAGTCCAAAATAGAGATCGTGTGTGATCCCGACGTGAGTACAGTGCAAGTCTTACGCTATTACGTCACGCGACTTTCTGTCACTTTTGGATTGCTATTGCATGTTGAATTTTTTTTTTCCTTGTTTTTTTTTCTTGTCTACTTTTTTGGGTTTTGTTTAGTAAGAGTTTTACCACACTTGCAACAGAGTTAGGTCATATAAGTGCCGATGATTAGAGGTGGTACTATAGCGTAACAGTAACATACAAAGGAAATGAGGAAAAGAGATAAGGTGTCTGGTAGGAAAGAAAGAGCAAATCAAACCAGTTTGCACGCCAACGATCCACTGAATTTGACTGAGGTTGAGCTCCTTACAAGCGAACGTATTGGGTTCTTCAGAAGGTCAATGGGGGTTCTCGTAGACTAGAGGTTAAGAAGTTGGCCTCTCATTCAAAGGTCTCGGGTTCGAATCCGTGTAGCAACGGAAAAATGTTCTTCTCTAACATTGTTTGCTTTTACCTCCTTTCCTGCTCTCTAGCCATATTCTGTCTTCTGCTCTCTCTCTCTCTCTCTCTCTCTCTCTCTCTCTCTCTCTCTCTCTCTCTCTCTCTCTTTCTTCTGACGCTAGGACATCATAAAAAGTCAGCGATGCCGACAGCACGCAGGAACTCAACACTTGCCCGCTGGTCCTTAAAAAGTGCAGAAAGTGGGTTACTGAAATGTCCCAGCATTCATCTCTACTTTCTGCCCCCATCCCTCACCTCCCTTGTCCCCTCCTCTGGGCTCCTGACTCTTTCTGCAGCATTTCCACGGCTTCTCCTTGCTCCTTCTTACTGCTGTCTTATAGTCACACCCCTGATCTTCTGGTAGGAAAGATATACCTAGCCTTCTCCAAAACAAGGGCGAAAAACCTCGGAGGTCCCGTGGGCAAGTTGAGCATGATTAAGATCCCTTGGGGGTCCAAAATCAAAAAGAGTAGGCTTCTGTCGCAAAAGAGGCAACATTCAGAATTTTCTACCGTCGTAAAACACTTACAAAAAGTCATTTTTCATTTTTAGTAGTTTCTCAGCACCGGCCCAGATTCCACGGACATCGAGCACGAAAGGAGGGTTCCGAGAACTAAGCTGTTACAGTGTCCGGGCTCAAAGTACGAGCAAATCGTTGTACTGGTCAAATGAACCAGTCTGCTGTATACGTTTTACCAAGGAACTCCCCCTCCCTCCCTCTCTATCTACCTCTCTCTCTCTCTCTCTCTCTCTCTCTCTCTCTCTCTCTCTCTCTCTCTCTCTCTCTCTCTCTCTCTCACACACACACACACACACACACACACACACACACACACACACACACACACTGTGCACCCTTTAAATGATTCTGAACCACCATCAATTTTGTCAAAACCGAAAGTTAAGTGTTCCGAAGTTTTAGGCGGCCAAAGTGCGAACTTTCACATTTATAACACTTTTAGATAGAGACATTAAAACATAAAGATATAGATCTAATCCTTCCCTCTCCCTCCCCATTTTATACATTGTCCCTTCGTCCTTTTCTTTTCTTCCTCTTCTTTTTCCAACCCCACCTCTCATCTTCCTCCTCATCACCATTCCCACCATCATCATTAGAAACAGCAGTAATAACAATGGCGGTGGCTAAAGCCCCCCCCCCCCAAAAAAAAAACCCCAAAGAGGCAGGGGCGGTAGAACACTAAATTGGCAGACTCGCTACTAGATTCCAAACGGATAATAATTGCAATTGATTTTTTTTTCTTTGTTTCATGAGGTCTTTTGAAAAAAGCTGTTGATCTCCATAAAATAAACCTAATATCATTATTACATTTCGTTTGTTTTGTTTATTCGCTATGACCGAATAGTAAGGAAAAAACTGCTGACGAGCCGTAGCATCTCATCTCGACAGATCATGTGTCAGTGAAGCAAACACGTGTGATTAACACAGTGTCCCCGATTCAAATTGCAGCTTATCTTAAAACCCAGTGTAGTGCTCCAGAAAGGGTAAACCGCTACTTTAAGCTACTATGAATTGTCGGAATATAGAATATTCCTACAGCAAACTGTACGTTAATGGTCACCATCAGTTTACTTTGTCAACATTAGCATACAGTAATTGTAAATTATCTTAGGCTCTCAGTCTCGCCACTGTGGGGTCGTGGGTTCGAAACCCGTGAGGGGCCCGAAAGGCTCTCTCGTTCTCTCTCTCTCACTCTCTCTGTACTCTCTCTCTCTCTCTCTCTCTCTCTCTCTCTGTGTGTGTGTGTGTGTGTGTGTGTGTGTGTGTGTGTGTATGTGTGTGTGTGTGTGTGTTTGTGTGTGTGTGTGTGTATGTGTGTGTGTGTTGCCCTTTTTAACTCCCAGTGGAGCATAGGCTATCAACAACATTTCTCCAGCGGAAGCCTGACATGTGCATCCTTTTCTAGCTGTCTCCATGATGTCCCCGCCTTTTCCATTTCCGCTTGTACCGCTCGCCTCGATGTCATCTTTGGTCTTCCTTTCTTATGTTTTCCATGTGGATTCCACGCCAAAGCCTGTCTGATGATACTTGTCGGGGGTCTCCCAGGGTGTGCCCAATCCATTTCCATTACTTCACCTGTGTGTCTTTCTTTACTGGCCTCTGGTTTCTTCTTTCTCACAGTTGAGCATTGGGAAAGGTACTTTACGCAAATGTTCCTAACTCTACCCAGGTGGGAATCCCTACCGTACCTAGCCATAGACAGTGAAAGATCTTGTTAGTTGGTTAGTGTTTGAGCACCTAATCAGCTGCTTGCACTGTATGCTTCCTGGGAAGCTGACAATGTTTCTGAGTGTTCTATGGTCGGCAGCAGGAATAATGTTATTATTATATCATAGCGTAAAGCACATACAGCTTGCTCGCGAACAGGGGTATGCGCTACAGATGCTATTTGCTATTATTCATTATGTATTGTCTTACTCCTAACAAAGCCGATCGACTGAACGTGAAACATGAGTCGTACGTCCCGTCAACTGTTACTGTGTTCCTATACATTTGTGATGTCCATATTGTTCGTGTACTGAGCTGGTATGTGTGTTTATGAAAGAGAGCACGATTGTGGGATCGAGAGTTATTGTCCGATGACGTGTTTATGTGTTTTTAGTTTAGTTTGTGGCAAGAGTTTTTCGGTACTTGCAACAAGTATAGGTCAAAATATAAATGCCGAAGATTAGAGATGTTACTAGAGAGTAACATACGAAGAAAAGAAAGATTAGGGATAATGACAATACATGTTTGAGAGGAAAAAAGGAGCAAACCACACCAGGACACACGCCAGTCACCCTCTTGTCCGTTTATATGACGTTTTAATCCCCCAAAAATATGGGTGCGTGTGCGGGCGAGTGACTAAAAATGTGTCTGTTTGCGTTCGAATGTGTGTGTTATCAGGAGTGTTCGCGCGATATAATAAACGGAAGGTCAGGGAAAACCTACCGGCATGATATAATTAATTATTGATCATTTTGCAGATATCCCATTTGCTCGATAAGACATTGACAACTATACATACGTCTCCGAATTCACTTTACCCGTGCGTTGGTTTTCCTACGCGTTATTCCTACTTCATTCTTGTCCATGCGTACCGTGGTTAATTCGATTAGATGTAACAATCAGGGCGTCCGTATTTATTGATTGGCTGGTGACCAGAAACGATGGCATATTCCCCACCACTCGTGGCAGAGAAAGGCGTGCTGTGCGTTCTGAGTAGAGAGGTAGCCTCCATCGCAATGTTCATGTTTACAGTAATATTATATTACTTTCTATTCTTTACCATGGATTTCAGACACAAAAGAACCCCCTTTTTTAAATTGCCAGGTTCGACTACCATGGCTCGGAGTATTACTGCACGTTTGTTGTTTCTGAGAATTGAACCAAACAGAATGAAGTATCCTAGGAGACACATAAAGGATTACTGATATGTTTCAGAAAGTTGCAAGAGTGAAAATCTTTGCAACTTCTAATATACCGTGAGATGATACATAGTTTTTGACCAATGAATTTACATTAAACATCCGTGAAGATGTAATCATAATATTGAATATAATATTGGTAAGCGTGGTGCAAAATAATTTTTAAGAGTTCTTTCGTTCTGCCCATAAGCTTAGGCCTATTGGAGGGCGTCAATCGTTAGCTCCATCTCGTTCTATTCCTCTGCAACGCGTACACGTCGCTTTGGTGTTTGACGGCACTACAAAGCTCCCATTCTATCGATGCGCTTAATAGTCATCAATTCTAACTCCAGTAACACAGTCGAGACAGTGATGCATACTATAAGTGTCACTGTGGCTTCCATACGCCTGTCAATCGATACGTCTATGATCCATTTCCTTGATGCAGGGAAGTCAAGAAAATGTTGGCGTTTAAATTTCTTCAGCATCGTAGTGACAGGTAAAAAGAGTAGACAAATGATGCATACACTAAACGGCAACACGTACTAAAATACAAACACACCGGCATACGATATAGTATTATATTACACACTTAAACACACGCGCACACGCACGCACGAACACACACACACACACACACACACACACACACACACACACACACACACATTTC